TGTGTATAGAAACAGGATTTTTATGCAGTTGCATATTTTCTTTGCCACCGCATACGACCGAGGAAATCAATTATCTATTCAAATCATGTATCTAGGAAGCTGAATGTTAAATTTTATAGGGCATATTTTTGCATATTTGAAGAATATCGCAGAAAATTGCGTATTTGAATAATATCGCATATTTGAAGGATGTTTTTTACCCGTAAAATCGCATTTATCCCGCAAAATATTTAAAATATTATATTGGTTTTCGGAGGAAGCATAAAAAAGATGAAAAAATAACAAGTTGACGAAAAGCGGGTTTAATTCGAAGAAAACTGAACCAGGCCGCACCGACGGGAAGAGAAGTTCTAGCATTATCGACAAAAGAATATAAAACTCCTTCTTAGGTCTTTTATTCAACACTCTCACAAATAATTAACCTTTATGTAAGGTATTGGTTGAGATAAAAAAAGTCAGTGTCACGAGCGGGATTCGAGCCCACGACCTTCAGCTAAATACGCAGCTGCACTACCACTATAGCTCATGTGGTAGAGCAGCGGCGTATCAAGCCGAAGGTCGTGGATTCGAATCCTGCTTATGACAGTGACTTTTTTATCTCAACCAAATACTTAATTAAAGGTTAATTAATTGCAAATCTTTTAATAACGCCGAATTTGACCAGAAAATGTATGCATTTTTAAGTAGAACGCATGACACCGGAAAAAATAAGGCTGATCCTGCCCAAAAAAAGAATTTTTTTTTGTTTGCTTACAAATTCGAATTTTAAGTGTTTAATAGATGCCTACAACCCACTTCTTGAATTATCCCTCCTTTTTGTCATTTTTCAATTTGCCATTTTTTATCTCAACCAATACCTTACATAAAGATTGATTGATTTATTAGCTCATTCGGACCACAAAACCTAATGGATTTAGTAAGCAAAATGAAGTATATCTTCACTAAAGCTCTCCGTGGCGATTTCATTTGACGCCGAGATTCGAATAGATTACACGACGTTTGAAAAATGGCAAAAAGGAGGGAAAATTCAAAAGGTGCGGTTGAGATGGAAAGTTAGTGTCCGAGCGGATCGAAGTCACGATAGCTCAAGTGGTAGAGCAGCGGTGTATCAAGCCGAAGGTCGTGGGTTTGAATCCCGCTCGTGCCATTGACTTTTTATCTCAACTTAAAACCTTAAATAATTGAAAGATATTAATTCGTCAAGCGGGCCACGAAAAATTGTGAATTTTATAAAAAAATAATTTTTGCATTGTAGAAATTCAGTTTTTTCCACATCCTACATTTGTTCAATTTAAACAATGTTTGTAAATCCCAGGCCCTGAGGATGATCTCAATAAAGATCGAAACCATGGCACGATAAAGAAAATGTGTTTCTGAAACCGACCGCACCTCACCATTTCCGAATAATCATCGACTAACGGTCACTAATCACCACGCATAAAGTATATATTTTTTCTGGCCTAATAATTCAATTTAATGGATGTAATCTTGGTTTTTTCTAGGGACAGAATTCAAATGGGTTTTCCATCATCCAATTTGCCCTATTTACTATTTCCTGCATTTATTATTCTATACACCTATGAACATTAAGAGACTTTATTTAATTCAGAAATAGATGGGCATTGTATAGAAATAAACCAGAAAGTTGAGAAATGTACGAACTTTTTTTAAAATTTAGTCTTCATTGTTATTGACTTTTTACTAGATGAAGGGGTTCCGTTATAGGAACGCTTTTATGAATAAAGGCCCTTTGAAATATGGCTCTACATAAGTTTGACTTAAGATGTAAAGGAATTCCCGCTGCTGATTTATAATCGTCCGTTCTATTCCACGGCCGAAAAGTTCAAAAATATTGCGCAATTAATACTTTCGACCGTCAAAGCTAAATGTGTACTGTTTTTTTGTCGTCCGATTTCGTCTGATTACGGGAAATGTGATCTTCCAATCTCCTTTGACATTATTAATGACAAATCATGTATGCTCTTTTATTCCTATCCTTGGGTTAGGGATATCGAATCTATCAAATCTGCACAAACAGCAACCGTGAAATGAAGCGAGGGGGGTTTCCTCTTTGTAGGATCAAATATCATTGCTGATGCCCTCGTCATTTTCTGGATAAGAAAATCTACATAAGAAAATCTACATCGGACCGGCATCATTTTGTAACAAATATTTTTCCCAAACAATTTCGATAAAAACGATTCGTACGAATAATTATTTGCTTTTGCCAGCCGCTCTCATCAACTGTGAGGAAGGCAATGTGAGTACCGACATATTTCATCCAATTCATTATAATTATTTCATTTCAGACGGTCGAGATTAGATCTAACGTGAAATTTAAGGATACTTCTTAGAATCTTAGAAACTTTGAGACTCTTTGTAGGTGCGACCAACTTGAAAATAGCTCCAGTACGTTCAAGCCTTTTTACAATCTCCAGTCAAAAATTTTTTCAAATCAATATTATTTATTTACTGTCCATATACATGTATACATATACATATTTAAAAGTAAGAAACAAGAGTACCAGTAATAATACTTTTTCTCTCGACTTAAATAAATAAATAATATATAAAATCTTACAACATAAATGTAGGGATACTGGAGTACAAAAACCCAACCAAGGTTTTTTTTTAATCAAAATTATTTATTTACTGTCCATATACATGTATATACATATTTACAGCCAGCCATAAATGAACTATCCTTTTTTTAAATTGGATTGACGTTCATATCATTGATAATACCAAAGTCTGACAATTCGGATAATTGGATTTTTTATTAATTGCGAAAGGATTTTGACATACTAGGCTGAATCGAGCAGGAAGAAATGCAATTTTAAAACATCAAGTGTCAACATTATCAATTCAAACCAAATCAATTCGAGTCAACACTGAAATTTGATATGATGAAATGTGATTAGACGCAAACGTATTTAATTACAGGACCCCCTCTCGCCTCAATCAAACAAAAAATCAGAATTATATTCTTCCATTGGCAAAGCAAAACAGAAGAAAAAAATCATCCTATTTTTATTACAAATAAAAATAAAATTAATAACTAAAATAAACTTACGAATCACTAAGTAAATTTTAAACCAGATTGTATAAACAAGTTGAAGCTCTTTGATATATGGGCAAAAACATGATCTATCAATTGAAACATTTATTCAGAGATTATCCACTACAAGGATTAAGTTTTGTTATAATTTGTTATCATTTTGAAGTGACTACTTTAAACATGTTTGGTTATATTAAATTAAGATTCAAGGATGAACCAGATAGGACTCACTTTGTTCCTTCGACGTGCTTTCCAGGAATCACCTCCATCACTGCAAAGGATCCTTGAATGATTAATTTCCATCCGGCCCGGAGGACCAAAAAAGGCAGGGCCTAGGTTTACTGACCCTTTTCTAACATTTTTAAGTACAACATAATTCATGTGTTGAACCGGAATTTTTTTATTTTACGGAATTTTCAAGAAATTCTCCACTTTATCTCTGCCAAGGATTCGTGAATAAATAATTTCCATCCGGCCCGGAGGACCAAAAAATGCTGGGGCTGTCAATTTAATCTTTTCTAACGTTTTTAAATGTAACATAATTCACGTGTTGAACCGGATTTTTTTATTCGTTTTAAATTTGCTGTTTTACGGGATTTTCAGGAAATTCTCATTTTTATCTCTGCCAAGGATTCCAGAATGCATAATTTCCATCCGGCCCGGAGGACCAAAAATTGCTGGGGCTAAGTCAATTGTACCTTTCCTAACCTTTTTAAATGTAACATAATTCACGTGTTGAACCGGAATTTTTTTATTCATTTTAAATTTGCTATTTACGGGATTTTCAGGAAATTCTCCCCTTTTACTTTGTCAAGGATTCCTGAATAAATAATTTCCATCCGGCCCAGAGGACCAAAAAAATGCTGGGGCTAAGTCAATTGTACCTTTTCTAACCTTTTTAAATGTAACATAATTCACGTGTTGAACCGGAATTTTTTTATTCATTTTAAATTTGCTATTTACGGGATTTTCAGGAAATTCTCCCTTTTAACGTTGCAAAGGATTCCTGAATAAATAATTTCCATCCTGCCCAGAAGACCAAAAATGCTGGGGCTAAGTCAATTGTACCTTTTCTAACCTTCTTAAATCTAATATAATTCATGTTATGAACCGGAATTTTTTTTTCATTTGGAATTTGCTGTTTTACAGGATATTCAGGAATTTCTCCCCTTTATCTCTGCCAAGGATTCCTGCTTAAATAATTTCCATCTTACTCGGAGGCATAAACTTGCTGGAGAGAGTACTATAGACACTTTACTAAATTTTTAAAAATATAACTTATTCATGTTTTTAACCAGAGGGGTTAGCAGTTGGACCCTTCTACACTCGCGGGTGGTTAATTTATTCCAACGCGTTTCGGCTTTGTGCCATCTTCAGTGAGAAACGCTCAGTCTCGTCATCCATGGAATTTATATGCTGTTGGGTTCGTCGTTCGTTACTAGGAGTTTTTTTTTCTTTTTTTTAAGAGTTAATACTAAATGGTTGTAGGTATTTGATTTTAAAATTAAGGTTCCAAAATTTATACAATTTGTTAGAAAGAACATGCAAAGTTTGAGACCGGAAGAAGTTGAGAAATACTGAAACAATCAATGAACAACTGTTCTCCTCTACAATTTTGGTCCTCCGGGCTGGATATTAATTTTTGATTCATTGATCCTTGGCATAGATGAAGGTGATATATTCATCAAAAACTGTGTGACATTTTGATTTTATTATATAAGCGTAACGACTAGAGTCAGTCATTTGGCTTGGTTAGCTAATAAACATTGTTACATATCCCAATAGGAAAATTAATTTTACTGTATATAAATTATACAAATATAACTGAGTTAAAATTGTTAAATATTTATTCTTCTTTTTGAAATAATGATTCTTAAATTAGGAAACATGGGATTGAACTTGATGATGTGGTTTCATTTTACTAACTTGTTTATTGTTTTAGCTTTGCCCGAGGAAGGTCCGAAGATATACGGCGGAAAGCCGCGATACCAGGCTGGAGACATCGTCAGGGTAAATTGCACGTCGGGGAGGTCAAAACCGCCGGCTACCCTCACCTGGTACATCAACGGAGAATTGGTATGTCGGCCGAACAATCTCATTTTTCCTTTCTCAAACAATTTTAAATTATGAATAACTCCCTCGCTCCTCTTTTTTGCATTTGCATAGGCGAGATTGCGAAATTAACCGCAAGGATACCCTTTCTAAGTTTTATTTCCGGCGGGGGAATACAACTCGAGGAGGAAACTCCGGTTTCGACTTAATTCCCGTGCCTTAGCAAAAATGTTTTCCAGATCTTATACAACATTTCGACGTGGCGCTGCTTTTCGGGAGAGTAAATTGAATATTCTAATTTAAATTTGGAGTTACAGCCTTTGTTATCGCGTCGGGAGATTTTCCTGAGAAAATTGAAAGCGTTAAAGGATCTTTTATTTTTCAGTAAGACAAAAAGCGATTTAGCATAGAAATAACTTCACTATTTTTCGTGGTACGCTTGACCAATTAATATCATTCAATTAATTAAGGTTTTAAATTGAGATAAAAAAGTCAGTGTCACGAGCGGGATTCGAACCCACGACCTTCGGCTTGATACGCTGCTACTTTACCACTTGAGCTATCGTGACTTCAATCCCCTCGGGCACTAACCTCCCATCTCAACTGCACCTTTTTTTAATGTTCCCTCCTTTTTGCCATTTTTCAATGGCCTTTTTGCTATATAAATAACATATAAATAATTTACAATTTCTAACTATGATATTTTATTAACAATTTATGTTGATAATTTCACAAATATGAATGTATCAAAATGTTTTGTTATCCAAAGGTATATAGATCCTTAGTCTATTAAACTATACTCATTTCAGAATTTAAATTAATATTTATTTAGAAATCGTGAGATGCGGTCTGGTTTGATGTAGGCTTCAGAAAAACATTTTCTTTATGGTGCCAACGTTTCAATCTGTATTGAGATCATCTTCAAGGCCTGGGATTTACAAACGTTGTTTAAATTTAACAAATACATGTAGAATGTGGAAAAAAGTGAATTTATACAATGCAAAAAAATATATTTTTTATATTCAATCAAAGTATTTCTACTCACTCAAAGTGTTTGTCTTCTGTGTAATTGTGCCATTCTTGCGTGTCATGTCGAGAGTGCCAGTGAGATTTTGTGTTTATATACGTTGGATTTTGAAGGCGACTGAGTTTACATATATCTGTTCTGTAATTGATGCTGTGTTTATCTCGGTTGATATAAACCATTTCTAAGAAATTATGTTAATATTTGTTTTGTTCTGTATGTAAATACTTTGATTGAATATATAAAATATATTTTGCATTGTATAAATTCACTTTTCCACATCCAAAATGTAATTGTAATAGGTAAACAATGTTTGTAAATCCCCGCCCTGAAGATGATCTCAGTAAAGATCGAAACGTTGGCACGATAAAAAAATGTTTTTTTGAAACCTACATCACACCAGAACGCATCTCACGATTTCTAAATAAATATCGATTAACGGTCACTAATCACCACACATTTAAATTAATACAAATAAAATCAACAATATACTGTTCTTCATCTCTGACGTCTTTAATATTTCTTTATTTGAATTTTTTGACTTCTTCACAAACCAGTGATTTCCAATTATGTTATAGTCCTTGATAGCTTTCGCCATCTTCAGAGACTGATACAAAAAGACACGGTTTAAAAAATTAAACACGGATTCAGTGAAGTGAAGAATCAGAAAAGCATCTGACACAAGAGAATTTATGTAAAAAAATTAGGAATAATTTGAAAGAAAGAAAAAACACTCAGTTCCTTCGTCACGCATTCGAACAATAGGTTTGTTTTACAGTCACGAAACAGTTGCCAAATAATCCGTGATTTATGACTGCGCATGCCTTGACTGATCATGGACTCTGAAACATCCAAACGTTTGAAACGGAATTCTTGTTGATTTATATCTATATTGTTTATTATTTTGTTGGTATTTTCTATAATGTACCTAGCTAGGCAAAGCCTGATGTTCATTCAAAATGAATTCAAATTTATTGAAAAGGATATCGAGTGTTCCTCCCTTCTAGAATTTATAAATTTTCTACTCCTCCTATAATAAATACACCACATTTTTTTATTAAATATTATTTAACTAAATGTGTAGTAAATATTCCCCTTGATCGCCAATAAATTATTTCAACTGAATTTTTTCTCATCATTTTTGAACTACTTGACAGGTAAAATTCTTTAATAGAAAAAATGCGTATTCATTTTACAGAAGTTTTTTAGAACTAGAAAGATAATTTTTTATTTGCGATAATCTACGAAGTGCGTTATTTAACATAAATTAAAGTTTTTATTTTATGTGTGGTAATTAGTGACCGTTAATCGATAATTATTCAGAAATCGTGAGATGCGGTCTGGTGTGATGTAGGTTTCAGATAAACATTTTCTTTATCGTGTCAACGTTTCGATCTTTATTGAGATCATCTTCAGCCTGGGATTTACAAACATGGTTTTAATTTAACAAATAATGTAGGATGTGGAAAAAAGTGAATTTATACAATTTAAAAAAAAAATATATATATATAATTTTATATTCAATCAAAGTATTTCTACTCATCAAAGTCCTCTGTGTAATTGTGCCATTCTTGCGTGTCGTGTTGAGAGTGCCAGTGAGATATTGCTGTTTTATGTTTATATATGTTTGGTTTTGAAGGGGTGGGGAGGGAAGTCGGTATAGAAAAGACGTTTTTGTATAAGGCGTCGGCATCTTTGAGGTCAAAAGAGCCGACGAAGAGGAAAAAAATCCTGGCCGAACCATTACCAACGTTTTTTTCCCTTATACAAAAATGTCTTTTCTATACCGACTTCCTTCCCAACCTCTTCAAAATCCTACGTATATAAGCATAAAACAGCAATATCTCACTGGCACTCTCAACACGACACGCAAGAATGGCCCAATTACACAGAAGACAAACACTTTGAGCCCTGAAGATGTTCTCAATAAAGATCGAAACGTTGGCCCGATAAAGAAAATGTTTTTCTGAAACGTACATCACACCAGACCGCGTCTCTCAATTTCTGAATTTTTTTGTTTTTGTATCTTGTTATATTCTTCCTTTTTACAATTTTTCAACTATTTATGTAAGTAACTTCTTTTTCTTTTCATATTTATATGTTTTTTTTTTTTTTTTTTTTTTTAATATTTGTTCCACGACCGTACACTCTTTCCAATCCTTTGTTCTTACCTAACCGAACGATTTTTCAGAGTTGTTTAACTATTGTCATGTGGGAGCGGGAGTATCTCAGGGAAGCGTACTCGGACCGATCCTTAACTTCTTCTACAACGCGAAATCCTCACTTCACCCCCACCACCATGACAAACTGTGCTATACTCTGATCCCGATACGACAATCCATCCCCTTCCAAAAAAGTGACTGCGTCCGCTACTTGGGTCCCATCAAGACTCAACCTTGAAAGTATGACTAAAACGGCAGAAATTAACCAAACGTTTCGAATTAGCCTACAAACTACTGGCATGCCTAACGTTTCAACAAAACACAAAATAACTATCTAAAAGGCAGTTGTAAAACTGCATGGACTGATTAGAACTGTGGGGCACCGCTAAACTTTCCAAGATACAAAGAATACTGGTCCTTGGTTGTCTTCACAATGCCCTCAAAATAGCCTTCGTTAAAATCCCTAAATCAACTAATTCCCAGCATTACACGAAAAACTATCCTCACATCCTAACCGATTAGCTAATGCACCATTACCCACCCTTACAACCCAGTAAGGCGACTGAAGCGATGGTCCTGGAACCTCCTAAACAATAGTACGACCTACTCAGAAACCTGAGAGAGCAACAATTCATACAAACAGCTCGAGAAGTTGGAGAAATCAATTTCAAGTGTTGATTTTGCTTATATTCAATATTAGGAAATGAAACGCTAAAAACAAAAGAACTGTCTTTGCTAAAAGTTAAATAAATACTTTTTTGGTATATTAACTTTTGGTTTCTCAAAAGTGGACTCCCTTTAAACTGAATCTCGTGTCGGGATCAAAGTCAAATAAAACCCTTTTTCGAATATAATAATCTAACTGATAGAAAAGTGTAAATAAAGAGGAATGAAGGGAAACAGGCGAGTAAATAGAAAGTTCAGCTTTTGTCGATGCTGATTTGTGATTTGTTCCGCTGAAACCAGTACATCCAACCTACACTTTTCGATAAATGGCCTTAGGGGATATTCAAATCCCCTGGAAAGAGAAAGAGTTCCAGCTTTATCCTTAAATCCAAAAGCCTAGGATGAAATGGTATTTCTTTATTTATTTTCCATCATTTTGGCTTAGTTGGCTTAAAGGCAATTACTTGATTTATTACATTTGACACGACGTGATTATTTTAATAATACATACAATATCTATTTTTATTATATATTTGAATTAATTATACATCGTTTTTCGAAATAAAAAAATTATGTCATGTGTGAGATTCGAACCTACGATCTTTGGATCTACACTCCAATGCTCTAAACACTAGAACGATATTTTTAATTATATTCTAAACTACTGAGATATTGATATAGAATTATTTTTAAATATAGCTTTCTTGTAGGTTGGTTTTTTAGTTTGGTCGTTTTCGATTGGTCTACCAACTCTCGCTGTTTTCATCTCCCAGACGCCTTTAAGCTTCTTACCTCTTTAGTACCGTGCCTGCGGAAAAACATATTGGTCTCAGAATAAACGTTGACAAGGCGGGCTGAAAATTAATTGACGAGTACAAAGATGAAAGGAGAGATTTGCACTTTCCTCATTAGGGAAGAAATTTCATTGATATAGAAAACTTGGTGACTTTTGTCCTCGCGACTAATCATCTCAACGTACGTTTTTTGCATTTCCCTCTTCCCTTTGTCGTGGGTTCAAGTCCTCCTCGTGGAATTAATTTTTCAACTCAACCATACATTCCATAAAAAATAATGAATGAATTAAAATAATTACTTCGGATAATACTACAAATTAAAATCTATTAATATATTAATTCTTAAAATTTTCGAAATATTCACGATCAGAAAATGTCGACGCAAATCCATAACGAAGAAATAAACAAACACAACACACACAAAAAAAAAATCACAGATATTTCATACTAAAAATAAATTGGACGATATCAATGTCTAAGCGTTGAAAAAACTGGCTGAAAATTAATAGACAGATAAAAAGGATATATGAGATTTATAATTTAGGAGCAAGGGAAAAATTTAACAAATGAAACACACCTCGCAGAAAAATGCCATAAACCACAATACACCACAAGATCAAAATTATCCATGATGTACAAAATTCTGAAAAATGTTTAAAAATCAAGAAATGTTCTACATGTTGATACAAACCAACAGTCTGGAAAAAAAACAAGCAGTCCATCAAAATAAAACGAACAAAAGATCACAATGACCGACAGGAATAAACAAAAAATCAAGGTTTAATCCTTCAAAGACGGTAATGGACAAAGCTACACACTTTTTCCTATTCCCGAGGGATATGGAAAAACAACCCTGAACATCCCGCAAACCCACTGCTGAAGGGAGATAATGTTGTCTCACAGATCTAACCAGCGAGGGGAGGCGGACCAAAATGATAGAAAACGACAAAACCGCAGGTTTCATCCTTTGAGGAAATCTCAAATTTTGTCTTTTTTTATATGATCTTTCTATTTATAATTTAACTTCTTCAGATCGATAAACTGTAATTATTATTATTATTATTATATTATTACATCTATTAGGTTTCGTGGTGCGATTGAGCAAATAAATTTTTTTCAATTAATTAATTTTTAAGTAATGTTTTAGTGAGATAAGACGTCAGCGTGACAAGCGGGATTCGAACCCACGATCTTCATTTGTCGCCGAGAATCAAATAGATTTGAAAAATGGCAAAAAGGAGGGAAAATTCAAAAGGTGGGGTTGAGATGGGAAGTTAGTGTCCGAGTGGATCCAAGTCACGATAGCTCAAGTGGNGGTAACTCAAGCTGATCAAAATGAACCAAAAATATTTTTAAAAGATTAATTGTAGCGTTATATATACGATTGCAAAGAAGTACCTACTAAGTGTTGTTAAAAATGGATGAGCCGCTAAGTGTCATAAGACATATATATATATATACATAAACTGAGAGACAAAAACTCCCCGGCCCTGAAGATGATCTTAATAAAGATCGAAACGTGGGCACGATAAATCAAATGTTTTTCTAAACCTTCATCTCACAAGGTCGCATCTCACGATTTCTAAATAATGGATGTCCAAAAGGTTCTATCGAAAATGGAAAATTCCAAATTATGTCAATCTAAAAGAATAGTTATGATAACTAGCCGGCCACAAAAAAGTTCTGTTTTTATTAATTCTACTGTAAAATATTTACATGCTTTTCGCCTTCCCAATTTTAATTCAATAGTAATATTCCGGAACTCCGAAGTTTCTCGTCTCAAGCTAGGACAAGAAAGGAGGAAAGATAATCTTTAAAAAACCTCAGTTATGGCCCCTACTACAGACAAACACTGTACAACATCGGGTAGAAAGGCAGAATAGAATCAGCCTCAAAAAAAGCAAGCGTCTAGAGCGGGATTCGAACCCACGATCTTCATTTATCGCCGAGAATCAAATAGATTACACATTTGAAAAATGGCAAAAAGGAGGGAAAATTCAAAAGTTGGGGTTGAGATGGGAGTGTCCGAGTGGATCGAAGTCACGATAGCTCAAGTGGTAGTGCAGCAGCGTATCTAGCGAGGGTCGTGGGTTCGAATCCCGCTCGTGACGCTGACTTTTTTATCTCAAACAAAACCTTAATTAATTGAAAAGAAACTATTATTATTATTGGAATTAGATTTCTCAAATAAATATTTTTATTGAGTCTACAATATCAAGTGAAATTTCATGTGTAGTCAAAGAGGCTTTAATTGAAAATCTCCTTGGTTTTAGAATTGTTAAAACAAGGGGAACCACGTTTAATCCCGGAAAGAACAACATATTTTCTACTCGCTTTGCATCTGTAATGGATGTGGATTTAGATTAGAATCTCGCAGGGAGATTGCAAACAACGGGATGGCCCTCGATCCCTGTTTCAATACGTATTCGTATTTAATCATTCAAATGAGCAAAAAGTAATTCGGCGATGTTGACCGTCGCCTTTGTTTAGTGGTCGGGCGTTGTACAACTTCGAGACCGCGTCGACGCTATTAATAAGTGAGTGAGGGTAATCCGGTCGATTTTCCGTATTTATATGCATGAAAGCATTTAGACTTGAACTGATGCATTAGGCAAAGTGTTGAATCTAAGTCATGCCTTGAATAGGTTGATGTGCTTAATGGGCTCTGTGTTTACCATGGACCCCTAGACAAACAGGCAGGAAATCTGCAAATCCTGTCCACTGAGGGAATCAAAACTTAATTTTGTGATTAGAAAGATTTAGCAAGTTTCGGTTCTATACGCAACAATTTTTTCTCAATCGAACAAGATTAAGCTAAAATATTCAAGTGGAGAGTATTAAATTAACGTTTTCTTATAGAAAATTTTGATGCTTAAGCTAACATTTTTTTAAATTTGAAATTCCTACTTAAAAAGTATTGTTTTTTAATTCTTATGTTATCTTAAATTTCTACATTTGGTTTGTTTAAATCAATTTAATTAGATAACTAGGTAAAACTTTAAAAATCTTCAGTTAACATATTTGACTTCCAACACAGTTATTGATCATCCTTGAGTATTAAATTGAGAAAAAGATAAATAATCAACATTAGCNGCCACGATCAGTGTCCACAGCATCTCTTCTCTCGACCTCTGACTTGGCTCGATTGGTCGCAACGGCTGGTCCTCGCTGGCTCTGGCTGGCTGAGTCCTCTTGTTGAATCCCAGACGGAGTGTGGCTGCTTCTCTCCCGGTCCTTGGTCTTAACTGCCTGGGGTGAGTCTCGGCTGGGTCTTTGACTGGGGTGAGTCTTGTATCTTGACTGACTTTTGATTTTCCCTGATTTTCGATGATCCCTTTTATACCGGGTCTCTTCCGGAGTAGGGGTGGAAAGAAAATTCAAAAGTCGGAGGAGTTCTCACGCCGCGGCTGAGCCGGCAAAGACGGCGGTCTTGCACAGGGTTGAGTATTCCCAATTTACGATGTCCCCCGTTCTTACCTAACTGTCTACCTGGGTAACCATTTCCAAGCTACATTTGCCAGATGTGTCATGTCGTTCCCATCTGGGCGGTGCCCCTTCAAAGCACAATCCCTGTCTCTTTTCCTCGTTTACCCATTTTGTTCTTATTTTACAATTTAACTTATCGCTAAGACGGGGGCGGGCTTACATAAGCAACACCATCTTTTCACGCTAATAAATTACTTGTACCCTCGGGACGTCATACACTCACCCCAGAGTACTCGATATTCCTCAAGGCGGGGTTATAAGCAACCCCTTCCTTTCACGCTAATAAATTACTTTTACTCTAGGGACGTCATACACTCACCGCAGAGTACGCGATATTCCTCGGGGTGAGGTTATAAGCAACCCCTTCCTTTCACGCTAATAAATTACTTTTACTCTCGGGACGTCATACACTCACCCCAGAGTACTAGATATTCCTCGGGGCGGGGTTATAAGCAACACCTTCCTTTCACGCTAATAAATTACTTTTACTCTAGGGACGTCATACACTCACCGCAGAGTACTCGATATTCCTCGGGGTGTGGTTATAAGCAACCCCTTCCTTTCACGCTAATAAATTACTCTTACTCTCGGGACGTCATACACTCACCCCAGAGTACTCGGTATTCCTCGGTGCGGGGTTATAAGCATTCCCTTCCTTTCACGCTAATAAATTACTTTTACTATGGGGACGTCATACACTCACTCCAGAGTACTCGATATTCCTCGGGGCGGGGTTATCAGCAACCCCTTCCTTTCACGCTAATAAATTACTCTTACTCTCGGGACGTCATACACTCACCCTAGAGTATTCGATATTCCTCGGGACGGAGTTATAAGCAACACCTTCCTTTCACGCTAATAAATTAAACTCATTACCAAAATTAACATAAATATAACACTCGAGAGAAACCTAGAATTCTGGTCACATTCACTCCCCACGATTACTCTATATCCTTCAGGGCGGGGTTAAATCACCCCTTCCTTTCATGCTAATGAATTACGTTCATTCCAATAACTTAACGTAAAGTCAAACAGACACAACACAAACATACATAAAAATATATATACATTTAAATATTCCATAGCCCTGAGGTAACCGGAACAGGCGATCTGTGCCCGCAGTCGTGCCGCAAGACTTGGAACAGGTCCGATGATATGCCAAAATATTGTATATAAACATCAAGCCTTCTACAATTGCATTTTTGTAGTAAAATGTCTTTCAAAACGCGACCTGATTAACTATCACCTTGTATCAACATTTTGACATACGTTGTGAAAGAGATCAACGAAATTTGGTATGAATGGCTTTCCCGTATATAATTGCATAATTAAGCAGAGTGAATAGTACGTTTTAGCAGTTAATTCGATATTGTGACACAATTAAACACCCCTATAACCTTGATTGGCGTTAGTGTTTGGTTAGTAATGTTTTAGGGATACGAGGACAAGTGGGATCAATATTATAACGAATGCGAGGTTTATCTTATTTCCCCAGTGAACACTTTCGAAGGTCATTATTGACGCGGCCATTGGCTGGTGCCGATAAAGCTCACCTTTATTAAACCCGGCCTGATAAGCGGAAATTCTTTGTTACAGGCTAACGGCTCTTACCTGAGAGGACCGACCCTCAAGTACGAAGGGCGGGAAGGCTTGGTACGGACGACCCTCGGCCTAGAGTTCAGGGTGGAGCGTAGGCACTTTCGAAGGGGCGATCTCAAACTCAAGTGCCTCGCGAGTATAGCTACGGTCTACTGGAACTCGAACGAAGAAAGCGTGGAAGGTGATCGGCCACAGAGGCCACCTGCACTTGAAGTCAAAGACAACCAACCTCACTCGTCGCGAGCCGACCGAGTACTCGGTAAGTAATAATAATTATAACACGTAATAAATTTTAAATGAATTACGCCATCTATGTCTATTAAACTATTATTAACTTAAACTTTGGCGCACGGGTAGTAGAATATTAAAAAAGCGTTTGTTCAAAATTGATACACAAATTTTGAACTTGAATTGGGCCTGAGGTACTGCTGTTTATATGTATAAATATTTTTTCTCCAAAAAAAAATAAAATTTTTAAACTGGACTAAAAAATATTAAACACCTATTTTTTTTAAGTTAAAGTCGAAGGTCGTGGGTTCGAATCCCGCACGTGTCATTAACTTTTTAAACTCAACCAAGACATTCGATAAAAAGTACAATTAATTAAAGTAATTAAACACATCAATTATCAGCGCTAAACATATAAGGATTAATGCAATATTAAATTCAATTAATTAAGGTTTTTAGTCGAGATAAAAAAGTCAGTGTCACGAGCGGGATTCGAACCCACGACCTTCGGCTATATTTAATGTCGTGTGTTTTTTTTTTCAATTACCACAGATTTTAATAATTTCATAAAATATTGGTACATAATTTATATAAAAATATGTTGAAAAAAAGGAAATCAAAAAGGGTTGAAAAATAGAAAAATCTGCTACTTAGTAAGAAAATTCAAACCGATATTAAAATTTCATACATCTTTCATACTTTCTTCATTTCTTTAACTGTATATAAAAAAAACCACATATATAACGAGTAAGCCATGAAAACATGGAAAATATTAGTTTTTAGTTTAATCTACTTGATGGATATACTTTATACTTTGTAAAGTTAGAATATTGTAAATATGCATGTATATTATGTAAATATTACAATTAATTAAGGATTTTAGTTGAGATGAAAAAAAGTTAATGGCATGAGCGGGATTCGAACCCACGATGTTCGGCGCTGATGCTACCCGACATTACAAAATGGTGTAATTTTACGAGCAAAACTATGGAATAAATTGTTAATTAAATTTTATGAGCAAAACCGTGTAATAAATTATTCCAATTTTAGTATATGTACCGCCGAAACGAGTACAATAAATTGATAGTTAAATTCACTGATTTCGTGGTCCGCTTGACCAATTAATATATTACAATTAATTAAGGTTTTTAGTTGAGATAAAAAAGTCAATGGCACGAGTGCGATTCGAACCCATGATCTTCGGCTAGATACGCCGCTGCTCTACCACTTGAGCTATCGTGACCTCGATCCACTCGGACACCAACTTCCCATCTCAACCGCACCTTTTTAATTTTCCCTCCTTTTTGCCATTTTTCAATCTAATGGCAATCTTTTATCTTTTATCTCAACTAAAAACCTTAATTAATTGTAATGTATTAATTGGTCAAGCGGACCACGAAATTAGTGAATTATGTAAAAAAATTTAATAACGCGTTAATAATAAAAAAAACAATAATTTCATATCTTTTATTTTTACTTTCAAAACTACATAACGAAAAGGGAACGAAATTGTGAATACAAGAAACTAAGATTAGAAAAAAAAATCATTTTCTGTAAATTATATCAAATACAGTAAAAAAAAAAGATTTTATTTTATCAAGTTTAGTTTTATAAAAAAAATTATCGAATGTAATTTAAAGCAAATATACAATATTTTCTGAAGCGAAATTTACTAGTTTTGGATGTGTATTGAACTTAAAAACAACAAAAATAATTGAGAATTGTAAATTCATTTTCTATCCACGTTATTGCTTTGTTTTTAAATATCTATTTTTTGATATATATAATTTCTTTTTTTCAGCGTCTGTCGGAAGTAGATGCAGCGTGTTGTGCAGCCTTCACAGCCTTTACAGCATAGCGTTGGTCCTGAGCCCGCTCAAATTGAGGTAGCTACGCAGCTGAGGCCGTCGATCCCCCGTCTAGTCACCGTAAACGCCAAAAAAATGATACTCCGCTACATAAATTTGTTTAGTCAATGGAAGACTGATTTATTTCATTGCATATCCCCGGCCTTATCCGAAAATATGGCCGATTTTCCGGAAACCCCATAATTTGTTTCTGATACGAATGGGTCAACCCTCCCTTCCTCATGTGATATCGTTTCGTAATTATCGTTCGGTGTGGACGTTGACGTTTCAAATTTTTATTTGACAGGCACGAGCGATTATTCAGGTGACAAAGTTTTGTAAATAAATTCTAAAACTGAAAAGTAGATTGGACATTTAAACGTTCGTTTATTGCAAAATATTATTTCAACATGTACAGATACACAAACTATGGTGTTCCATGACACGTCTCCTTAATGTTCGCATAATGTTTAGAAAATAAAATCATTAAAATTAATCTTTAATACTTTTTTTTACACATAAACGTAGATTTAAAAATATTGAAAAATTAATTTAATTCGATTGCACTCTCATCAGAATAATCAACTTTATGGATAAAAAAGTTCGTTCATGTTGTAATCCATGTATAGAGAATAAAGGATAAGACCTGGTGCTATATTACCTTAATCCGTTTGTTGCTCAATTTCTTAATTGCTTACAGAAAGAAAATGCGAACATGAGGCAAACTGGATCGATTCATTTCTGAGACGATCTTTAAAAAGAAAACTCCCACTAACAATTTTCTAGCTATTATTTGTACAAAACATTTCCAAACTTACAAGTATTCAAATATATTTTCTTAATTAATAACTTAGACGGTTTCAAATTTGATGTTTTAAGCATTTAAAAAAACATGTGTTCTAAGTGTAAAAGGGAATTTTAATTTTTGTAGCTCTCAAAAAGAAATTTTAATTATAAACTTGAAAATAATATATGGAAGATGTAATAAATGTAAATATATTTTCATTATTTTTAACTTTATTATATCGCTTTATGTACATAAGCTTTACAAATTGGACATACATATATAAATATATATACAAAATAATGAACATAAAATAAACAATATTGTTATGTCTATGATTTTAAACCGAAATCCTTCTGTTCCTTTTTTTTTTTTTATTGTACATGAATCATATTGTTATGTTAATTTTCTCCATAGAGGATTGTAAAGTGTACAAAAAGAAACCTTCACTATAAAATAGCGAATAATTCAACAAGCAATAGAAATTAATTTTAAAATCTTCTTAAAAAAGAACTGAAAGTATATTGAATAAATTTCCTCAGACATTTGCATGCCGTAATAAAACACGCATTAGAAATACAGAAATAACACTAACTCTATACAATAATAAGATTTGCTTTTTACATTGGAAATACAAATTTAAAAATATCACTTTTTTTTATAATACAACATAATTGGTAGCCCTTGAACTCTATTTATTGTCCTTGACTCGACGTTCGAGTTTAACGACTAGCTGAGAAAGAAAACGCTGTTCAACGAGAGAAAAAGGGTCATAACGCTGAGCAATGCTGTCGACACACCACCGGTTATGGTCGAAACTGAAAAAAAAGTAAGTGAACAAATTAAAAACAACAAAGAAATTCAAGGCGCTACAACAGTACAAAAAACAAAGCTTCTTTCTATAACGGTACTATTTACAGTTTCAAAATTTACAAATTGGATCATTTTAAATTTTCGTAATTAAAAAACTGATATCTGGCAGATATGTTGAAGAACATCAGTTTTCATTTTTTTGCCATTAAATCCACCCCGCTTTGGTATTTCAGGCGCGTATTGGCATTTTATTATCTTCATTGGTTAGCCTATTTTTTTTCTTATTCCAGTTCCTTTTGATGGTCCATAAAGAGTGATATTGACTGTCTTTATTAGGTTGAGTGTACAACTTTTCTTTTTCTTCCGATGTAGAAAAACAAATACAGAAAAAGGAAATAGATAGGTAGATAGATATAGATAGAGATAGAGATAGAGAAAACGGAAAATATAAAAAAGAGAGAAAAAGAGAGAGTAGAAAGAAAACAAAATAGATAGTGAGTAACAAAGGAAGGAGAGGAAACTGAGAGAAAGAGAGAGAGAGGTGGAAGAGAGAGAGAGAGTGTCAAAAAAAGGAGGGAAACTGAGAGAAAGAGAGAGAGAGTGGGTGAAAGAGGGAGAGAGCGAGAGGGGGAGAGAAAGAGAGAAAAAGAGTGTGGGAGAGATAGAAAAAGAGGGTTGGAGGGAGGGAGAGAGAGGGAGAGCGAGGGTGGGAGAGAGAGAGAAAGAGCGCGTGAGAGAGGCTGAGAGAGGGAGGGAGAGAGAGAGCGAGGGTGAAAGAGAGAGAGAGAGAGAGCGGTTAGGAGAGAGAGAGAGCGAGAAGGGAGAGAGAGAAAAAGAGTGTGGGAGAGATGAAAAAGAGAGTAGGAGGGAGGGAGAGAGAGAGCGAGGGTGAAAGAAAGAGAGAGAGCGGGTGGGAGAGAAAGAGAGCGAGAGGGGAGAGAGAAACAGAGTGTGGGAGAGATAGAAAAAGAGGGTAGGAGGGAGGGAGAGAGAGTGGGAGAGAGAGGGAGAGAGTGAGCGAGGGAGAGGGAGAGAGAGAGAGCGCGCGTGAGAGAGGCTGGGAGAGGGAGAGGGAGGGATTGAGAGAGCGAGGGTGGGAGTGAAAGAGAGTGGGTGGGAGAAGGAGAGAGAGAGAGAGAGAGAGAGAGAGAGAGAGAGTGAGAGAGAGAGCGTGGGAGAGGGAGAGAGAGATGGTGAGCGAGCGAAAGCAGATACAACATTGTTTCAAGGGGGCGCCTATTCAGTTTTGAAAGACCTACAAGTCATGATGGTTTAGACTATTTTCGACGCCGAAAACTTGTGTGAAATTACTTTCTATTTTAATTTTTTATAACAGTTATATAACTTTAGAAATAAGTATAAACCGTCATAATCATAATAAATTTCAATCTGAGGGAAAGGAGATAAAAGAGGTAAATAAAGAGAGAAAAAGAGAGAGGGATAAGAAAAAGTGGGTAAGCGAAAATAGTGATCGGTAGATAGATTGTGTATGTATAGAGAGAAAATTAAAAAAGAGGAAGAGAGAGAGATAAATTGTTTGAGTGTTTGTTATATTATTATAAGTATAGAAACGGATTACTTTATATTTTATTCCCCTGAAATTGATAGAACGCATAATGAAAAAATCGTTCAAAAATTATTACAATGCAGCTTGGAAATGTGTATGTACAACGGTGTGGAAATGATTATGTAAGGAAAATGTATATTGCATTCATGGAATATTTGTGACGCATTGAAAAAGTAAAAAATAAAATAAAATAAGGGAATAATATAAATATTACATTAATGTTCTCAGTAAGAAACTCACATTTTTATTTCTTTGCTGTTGTTCTTCGTTTAGCGATTTTTTCTTATTTTGAAAACGATTCTATTTGAATCAAAGATCGGTCTTTCTAAACTGACTTACCGAGTACTCTGTCCGTCCTGGAGGAATGGGGTAGATTGTCCTTCACCTCCAGGGCCGGCGGCCTTTGCTGCCTGTCACCCTCGACGCTCTCCTCATTCGAGTTCCAGTAGATTGTGGCGATGCTCGCGAGACATTTGAGTTTCAAGTGGCCCCGCCTGAAGTGTTTTCTTTCCACTCTAAACTCGAGCCCCAGGGTTGTCTCCTCGAGTCCTCCTTTCACCACCCTCGTCCTCGGGCCGCGTAACAGCGTTCCATTAGCCTGTCAACATTGACACTCCAGTCAAAAAGGGGGGTGAAACACAGAATAAATAAAAGACAAGCATGCAATTAACACGGAATACTTGAAAAGTGAGTAATTATGAAATAATCCTCAAAGATTTGCTTGCGAGAATATTTTAGTAAAAGTTATAACATTAGATCTGTTAGGATTCGTGGTCCGATTGACCAAATAAATTCTTTTCAATTAATTAATCTTTAATTAAGGCTTTGGTTGAGATAAAAAAGTCATTGTCATGAGCGGGAAGCGAACCCACGACCTTGGGCTAAATACGCCACTCAGTGGTGGAGCAGCGTCGTATTTAGCCGAAGGTCGTGGGTTCGAATCCCGCTCGTGACGCTGACCATTTTATCTCAACTAAAAACCTTAACCAATTGAAAAATATTAATTGGTCAAGCGGACCACGAAAACTAGTGAATATATAAATAATATATTAGTAAATATAATATATAAATATTACAACAATAATACAACCAATTAAAGTTTATCAATAACCAAAAAATTTCTACAAACTAATATTTTTCGAGTAAACAACAGAATAATTATTTTTTGTGAAACTACATTGACATTTCGTTTTAGTACGTTTAGTATCCCTATATATAAATTTATCTATTTTTTTTCTCCTAAAACATTTCCGATTTTTAAAAAGTGGTTTTCGGAATGTCTGATTTAAAGATATATGATTAAAAAATGGCTAAAAATAATGGTTAAAAAGGATTTTAACGTCAAACAGCTTTTTAAGGACATATGTAGCATTAAAATATACAAACTATTTCTATAAGAAAATACACAAAACAACAAAATTAGAAATTAGAAATAAACTTTTTTTTTAATGGAAATAATAGTCGGCTTTTAATGTTACATACAATGCAGGTGATAATTTCTTTAAAACGAATTTTGAACTGTGAAAATACGTCATCCAGCTTTTGGGAAAAATGATGTTAGATCAACTAGGAGTGTCTGTCAGGCAGAAAGGTAGTAGAAATTATCAGTCAAAAAATTAATTTACACTGATTTCAGGAAAAGTTGTTATCTAAGTGTTTTACAATGCTCGAGTCACGACAATGAGGTCAAATCCAAATTTTGGCTACTTTGATTACCGAATTTTTGATACAATAAGCAAAAAAAGCTGTGTTTTTCTTATTAGATATTTTATATTTAGATATTTTACTTATTTTTCTTATTTCTTCTTTGATTATTCCGCGTTGTATCTGTAGAACATTTGTTTTCGTGTTAAGCAACAATGAAATTAATATATGAAAAATAATATTTTTTATCTGTAAATAACGATTTATGCTCGTAGAAAAAAATTAAAATGTTTCCTTCTCACGATTTTTATTGATTTTTCAAGTGCAGGTTTTCGGTTCTAATTGAGCAGTTTCAGCTTTGAAAATGTAAATTTCACATAAAAAGAAAAAAAATCTTAATAATTTATTTCATTCTAATTTTAAAATGCTTTCATATGTTTCTAAATTTCAGAGTTTTTATATTTTATATATGATTATATATGTTGGTTTGGAGAGCCATACGGAAAAAAAGCCAAAAAATCGAATCTGGTAATGTAAATAAATTATAGGAAGACAATTTTTTTTTCGTTTAAATTTTTTATAAGATTTCAACCCGACGACCTTACCATATCTCCCATCAATGTAAACAGGTTAAAGTATACATTCGTTATTATTAAACTTAGTATACAGTTAATTTTTCCTTCTGCGACTATGGAGTGTATTAAACACTATGAACAAGAAATAATAAGAAGAAGTAAAAAGTAAAGAACGTAAACATAAAAATGAAAAGGTTAAAAAACCTTTAAATGTTAAGTTCGACAATAAAGTTTAGTATTTAAACATAGAAATGTTGAAATAAAAGATAATACAAGATTACGACCAAGGTGTAAAACCCCAGACCCACATTAATTTATATTATAGTGCACCATTTAGACACATTTTTATCCTGTCATTACCACATTTTCAATATAAAATATTTATATATTTTTACAATTTTTAATAAAACATCTCCACTGTTTAATTAGTTTACGACAGAATTAAATAAAACAAAACTATTTTGATCTTTTTAATTATTAAGCGTATAAAAAGGTTGAATGATTGAAAACAGGGAAGCCAACTTTGGAGGTATTTACAACAATTTGGCTGTAATTTAATTCCAAATAATCTTCAATTAAAAGCCGAAGAAGGTTAATATTGAAAAGAATACCGTGGAAACGCACGTGATACAGAACAAACAATATTTCATTTTTTATTCATTTAGAAATCGTGAGATGCGATCTGGTGTGATGTAGGTTTCAGAAAAACATTTTATCTATAGTGCCAACGTTTCGATCTTTTATTGAGATCATCTTCAGTGCTCAAAATGTTTGTTTTATGCGTAATTATGCCATTCTTGCGTGTCGTGTCGAGAGTGCCCCAAAAATGTTTTTCTGAAACCTACATCACACCAGACCGCATCTCACGATTTCTAAATCAATATCGATTAACGGTCAAAAATCACCACAAATATTTCATTTATTGAACTTACTGTATAAAATAAATATGCGTCACCTTATTCAAATTTAGTTCAGAAATATGTCAATCGATGCCATAAAAATACACAAACATGGTAATAAATTGCGTAAGCGAAAAAAAGGGAAACTCTTGAAATTGTTCATATTTAAGACACGAAAATTGCAATAAAAAACGTTTATCTCAACCAAGATATTACATAAAAAGAACAATTAATTTAAAGAAGTAACTTTCACCACTAAAACGTAAATGCAATAAAAAAACTCATTACAGTTCGTGGTCCGATTGACCAATTTAACTTTTTTCAAATAATTAATATTTATGAAAGGTATTGGTTAAGATAGAAAAGTCAGCGTCAGGAGCGGGATTCGAACCCACGACCTTCGGCTAAATACGCCGCTGCTCTACCACTTGAGTATCGGTGACTTCGATCCGCTCGGACACCAATTTCCCATTTCAACCCCACCTTTTGAATTGTCCCTCCTTTTTTGCCATTTTTCATCAGGTTGAGATCAGGTTGAGTCGTGGATTCGAATCCCGCTCGTGACGCTGACTTTTGTATCTCAACCAATACCTTTAATAAATATAAATTCATTGAAATAAAAAACCTTTAAAAAAATAAAATATTGCCATCGGTGGGCTTCAGTTGTCTAATAGTTAATGAATTGTTTTTATAATATGACTTTTGTATTTCTGGCGTATCATAAACTTTTAACGAATGAAAAAAGTTCCATGATCGGTTTTAAACATGTATATTTTGAAGTTTATTTTGACCTGTTTACACCATTTATTAAAAAATAAAAATAAAACAAATCCGTGAAGGGAACTTACTTATTTGTTGTTCATTTCATTAAGGTTTTAGTTGAGATAAAAAAATTCAATGTCACGAGCGGGATTCGAACCCACGACGTTCGGCTAGATAAGCCGCTGCTCTACCACTTGAGTTATCTACTAAAGCTAGCTACTAAAAACCTTAATTATTTGTTCAAGCGGACCACGAAAATTAGTGAAGTTAATAAGTTAAATAAAGTATTTCTTCGCTAAAGTTCTCCGTGGCCATTTCATTTGTCGCGAGAATCAAAAGTAGCCAGCTTAAAAAAAAGTTTTAATCTCGTAGAGTAAAATTCCTGCATTTGCAAAAAAATTAAATCGAAAATAATTGGACTCTTTAGCCTTTATTACATGAAATAGAGAATTTTTGATTTTAAACTAACAGCTTCAAACTTCAATATAACCTAACTTCAAAATAGCTCTTTTTAACTTCAAATTAAACCTTTTGTTTAAAACATCAAAGAAATCTAAAACTTGGTATGGAATGTACGTTGGTATGGACGTAAAGTAACATTCCTGTATTTGAATTTTCCAATGAAATGTAATTAAAATTAAAATTTATTTAAATTAAAATATACAAATAAAGGACTGTTTTTCGTTAACTTGAGCTATGTTTACATTTATTTGGTTAAGAAATTTCTAACCATTATAAAAAAGAAGACCCTTTTATTTTAATATTTAAATTTAAGTTTCATTTGAATTGTAATTACATTTTTTACAAAAACATTAAACACAAATTTTTCTTCTTTTAACGAGAGGGAACGAGATTTTAAAATAATATAAAACAATCGGTTTCATCAAAACCGTCTTTCTTTGTAACTATAATTTATGATACATAACGTTTAATATTAATTGTACATTTTATAAATACAATTTTTATTCAAATTTAGAGGAAGTTTACTTTACATTTTTCATGACATCTCGTACAGTGTTTTAATACTGTAAAAAAATCGTTAATTTAATATTAAAACAGGTTAATACGAATATAATTGAGGTATTTTGCAGTTAAAAAATAGTTTTTTTTTTTGCGAAAAACCATGAGTAATGCCATAAAAATTTAAAATATAAAAATTGTTCTTTTAATTTGAGATTTAAAAAAAATACAAAATAAACACGGTTTTTTGTAAAATTTCTGAAACCAAAAGAGGAATCCTTTGAATTTTTGATGGTGATAAATTTTCTTAGGGGTTTCTGTATACGCTGCAATTTTCTTTTACATGCTTATGTTTCATATCATCCTCGAAACTTTTTTCTTAATTAGAAGAGAGAAGTAAATAGATGTAATTTGAGATTAAAATGTTAACTTGTTATTAAAAAAAGGTAAATTTGAAGTTAGCAATGGGTAATTAAACCGATAAAGGGTTAATTTTCAATTAAAAAGGATTAATTTTGAATATATATACACACACACTGACAGGCAAAAATTTCCACCCACGTGTAATTTAGCTTGATTTGTATATACATATATTTATATATTAATCTAAGTTTCACTTTTTTAACGTTTAATAATTTAATCGTTTTATCAAAAAGTCAAAAAATGTATATTGCTAAAGAAAAGGAAATATAAAATTTTAAAAAAAGATGGACAGATAAAATTTGTTTTTCAGTTTTGATTAACATCTCAATATCGCGTATTTCCTCCTCTTGCCTTAATAACATCTCCAAGACGCCTCGGCATACTTTCTACCAGTCAGGAAATGTCTCTTTGCATCACGAAGAATGCCGGTCACGTGTCCAAGCATCTACGCATCTCACACTTTACAAGGAGGTACAAATTCTCCTGCATTGTTCGATCTACATAAAGATAATTTTGACGGTCTTTGTCTCAATGAGTTGCGATGGCTATTGAAGCAAAGACGTGAGGTTTTGCACTTAAACTAGGCTGTTCGGATCAAAGGGGAATTGGGAATCTGTACTTTGTGTAATTCGCGCTCTATTGAAACTGTATGCCACTTCTTGGCGGAGTGCTCATCCCTGGGTGAGATTCGGTTGTTGCATCTCGGATGTTTCACTCTCCCCAGGGTTGACCTGTTACGGTTTTTGAGTGGCTCAAATTCGCGGCCCTTAATTCGTTACGCCGGGCATGCATGGAACTACAGATATGAATTAATTGATGAGTTTAATTTTTGATTTCTATTGTATAACCGGTTTTTCTGTTCTCTTTCGCATTTTGGCAGTTGTTGTTTCTCCTTTTTTCCCTGTTTTTTGCGTAGGCTATCACTTTTATTTTATTCTTATATGCGAGCGACATGTGGACGGGAGCTGATTTCATCATTTTCATCATGATGTTCCAAAATTTCATCCACATAGCAAGTGGCCGTGAAAGACCCTCCACGAACAACAACCAACTCTGTGTGTCTCTCCATTGAAATTCCAGCCCACACCATCACTGAACTACGTTGAAAAAGTTGGCTTTGGGGAAAATTACAGGCTTCGTACCTTTCATTTCGCCTTCTCCACACTCTTTCACGCCCATCTGGAAATCGTAGAGCAAATCTACAATCATCTGTAAAACTTACACCAGACCAATTGTCCAAATACCAATGGCTGTGTTCTCGATCAAATGCGAGACGTGTAGCTCTGAGTGTTTTGGTCAATTCTCCTATTTTTACGGGGCCAAAAGCCATCAGGCCATACTGATTTAATCTTCTTCGAGCAGTGCGTTCAGAAATTTGGTTCGAACTTCCTGCAGCTGATGAATCACTTGAACACCAGGAAGGTGCCGGTTTTGCAAAATTCTCAAAGTCAACAAACCACCATCTGGTTATGTTACTCTAGAGCGACCAGAACCTGGGCTTCTATGGTAGTACCCAGTTTCTGTAAAATGTCTAACGGCATCTCGCAGTGTTTCGTAAGAAACTCCGACGGAAATAGTGGCATACCTAATGAACGTCCATCATCAATAAGTGCCACATCATGCACAAAATCCTCAGAACTAATTGGCATTTTTAAGTTTAAAAGAGAGAGAACAAAGAGTATTGCCTGGGTGCGTTCCTAGATGTAGCACAAGCTTTTGACAGGGTGTGGCACCCGGGCATGCTTTATAAACTCAAACGCTTCCTACCCAATCCTTAATACCTTATCCTGAAATCCTACCTAACAGACCGCTGCTTCAGAGTGAGGTGCGGTAACGAGTTCTCTAAAATCAGGCCAATACAAGCCGGTGTCCCACAAGGGAGTATCCTTGGTCCTATCCTTTATACCATCTATACAGCTGACCTACCTACTCACCCCCATACCAACATTACCACCTACGCGGATGATACCGCAATTTTGTCCTCTAACTTGAATCCTACCCAAGCTACCTCTAATATCCAAGAACACCTTGAGCTCATCGAAGGTTGGGGCAAAAAGTGGAGGACAAGATTAAACGGAGAAAAGTGCATCCAATGTACGTTCACTTTGAAAAAACAGTCTTGCCCTCCACTATACATCAACAATGAAGAGATACCGACTTCCACTCAAGCCAAATACCTAGGACTATACCTTGACAGCAGACTGACGTGGAATCCCCACACAAGACTTAAAAGACACCAACTCAACAGAAGACTTGGACAATTACGCAGACTACTAGGACCAAAATCCGGGTTAACCATCAGCACTAAACTGACCTTATACAAGACTTTACTGCGACCACTTTGGACATACGGTGTGGAAATGTGGGGTTCCGCCAAACCATCCAATATCCAGCGTATCCAGTCCTTCCAATCAAAACTCCTCAGACAAATCGTCAAAGCTCCTTTTTACGTCTCTAACCTCACTATCCACAAAGACCTCAACGTTCCTTTTGTCCACGAACTGATCCATTTCCGATTCCAAAAATTTCATACCAACCTATCGATCCATCCTAACCCTACCACTAGAACCCTCTCCACATATTCCCATCCCGAGAATCTACCACGTCGCCTAAAACGACGATGGCCCCGAGACCTCCTTGCCCCTTAATCTATTAAAATGAGTGCCAGCAATGGCTGGCTTCTCATGGCATGCGTCCCCCGAGTGCAGCGCTGGCATCAGTGTTAGTGCTGTGACCGAGCGGTGAACAATATACATTGTGATCACATTTGTATTATGTACAAGTATGTATAGGCTACAAATAAATAAATTTTAAAAAAAGTTTAAAAATTGAAATTAAGAAACCAAAGAAGAACACTAAACAGTTTCTTCCTTCAGAATTCAAATGAGACTGAATAACATTTTAAATTCAGCAAAAAGTAAACATTGAAAAATTCTTCATCCTTGTTTTGGATTAAGGATTAATTGTACGTCTAATGGATATTCCAAATTTAAAACATAGCATAAACAAATATTTATTGATAAACATAAGAAACAAATTAAGGATAGAATTTTGTTTTATCGTGAAAATGAAAAAAAATCAATTGGGCGGAGTCTTTTGCCTGTCAGTATATATATAATTGACTTTTTTATTTTCACGATAAATGAAAATTAAACCCTTAATTTGTCTCTTGTTTTTATTAACTGTTATGTAGGAAATAAGTAAAAACAAGCTTAATTTATCTAACCTGTGCGCCGTTAATGTACCAGATGAGCTGGGCAGGCGGTTTGGACGGTCCTGAGGTACAGTTGAGGTCCACCATCTCGCCGACCTGATACCTCGGCCGGCCTCCGTCGATCGTCGGACCTTTTTCCGGCAGGGCTGAGAACAGAAGAGACGTTACGCTGTGATGATACGCCCAACACCATTCACGGCTGCGACTTAGTTAGCGTCAATTATTCAAATCGTGATTTATGATCAATCGGAAGTTGGACGGCTGTCCTAGGCGCCCTCCGACTCCTGATTTATCCCAACGCCCGACCGTCACAATTCACCTGTTGTCACGTGTGATTTAACAGTCCCCTTAATATATTTTTGAATTATGGCTCACATAAATAGATTTAAAACTTGTCTGTTTATTTTATGCCGGTTATAAATTAAACCAATGTTACTACATATTTTATTTATCGTTCTTTACTTGGCTTTTGTTAATTAAAATAGCAAAACCTGAACTGACTCAAGTTGAGAGGAGGTTTCAAAAATAGGTCCTACCTATTAAAAAAATTACTAAATTGGACTTTAAACTTGCAGGGTTGTCATTTCCGGTTTTGCTCGTCTCTTCCTCAGGAGTGTTCGCATACCTCGCTATGTAGCTGAGTGTCAAGTAATACCCTTGAATAATCTGGAGATCGTCGCTTCCCAACCACGGTATTGGGCTCCAAGAGATTTCGGCAATAGTTAATTTCAGCCACCTACTAACCTATAGTCCAATCGCGCATATAAATACATTTACATATCGCACACCCACAAGGAAAGTTACACAAGTCGAAAAATTATAAAAACCTGATTATTTAGTATTTAAATTTAGAAATATTTGGGTGTGTTGCTCTAGGAAAAAAGACTCAACTGTACGTGGACTCTTAGCTGCTAGAAAGCACTATGATTATTCGGAAATCGTGAGATGCAGTCTGGTGTGATGTAGGTATCAGAAAAACATTTTTTATATAGTGCCAACGTTTCGATCTTTATTGAGATCATCTTTGAGAGAGAGTGCCCCAAAAATGTTTTTCTGAAACCTACATCACACCAGACCGCATCTCACGATTTCCGAATAATCATCGACTAACGGTCACTAATCACCACACAGAAGGCACTATGTTTCAATTTTGAATTGGCAGGAACGTACTGACTCCATTCACGAAAATTGGCACATTTCGAGTTATTTTTTTATTGTTTAGTAAAGGATTTTATGTTGAACCAAAGTCACATTTTCCTATTACCAAAAACAAACGTTAAGTCAATTGTACAAATATGGGAAATTAACATAGGCCTTGTTGATGACCTTAAAATAGGTCGAAATCTTGGCAGTAACAACTGAATTTGCTTTTTTCTTCAAAACCATACCTTGATCCTAGAGTGCTCGTGAATTTACTTTCATTTATTTTATTTTAATAATTTTCTTAATTATAATATTGTTTTCCATCAGTTCAGTTTTTGTTTTTCACTTTTACATTATTTTATAGGTTCAACGTTTTTTAAAATATTCTTTGTATGTAAGGTCTTGGTTGAAATGAAAAAGCTAGTGTCACGAGCGGGATTCGAACCCACGTTCTTCGGTTCAATAAGCCGCTGCTCTAACCACTTGAGCTATGAGAGTAGAGCAGCGGGTTATTGAGCCGAATGTCGTGGGTTCTTTTTTTTTCCATCAACCACCCAGCCGTACCTGAGGGAGACCCCATACTGGCGGACCTCGGCCTCTAGACTAACCTATTTTCTTGTATGGGGGAAAATGGAAGCATAACGCCTTCCTTATGCTTCGCTCTAAACAACGGGCACGAGGAAGGTTAGGGTATATATATTTTTCCTCTCTGTATTAATTAAACTGACCTAATCTAATAGGCCCCCCTTGCTGGTTATCCTTTTTCGTAAAATAATATTATACAATCATTTCATAAAATTAGAAAATTAAAAATGATAAAAAACTACAAAATTATATAAATATAATAATTTAAGCACTTAAGAACAATCACAGTCTTACGTATGGTATAACAATGTTAACCTATTTTCAAATAAGTAACCAGGCCGGATTTATCTGAAAAAAAGTTATACACTTAAATATATCACAGTTTCATCACAGGTATGATTTAGAAAGTTTGTTCACGTACTTGGTTTACTACCCACTAGTATGCTCTGTGTAAGCTGTTTGAACATATGATACGTTCGTTTCGCTTTCTTTCAATCTTGGAGGCAATATATTGTGAAAACTGTTTCGCAGGTCTTGACGAAGTTGTACGAAGTTTGGGCAGAAGAATAGCTTGCGTCGTACGTCTTCAGGAACATTGCATAACTGACAGTTTGGGGTATTCGAGGTAGAGGTTCTGGTTTCACGGTCTGCCTTCGCCTTGGCCATCATCTCGGCATCGAGCTTCTTCGCGTCCACCTTTGATCTCATCTCCATCTCGTGCTCGATCGTCGCTCGGCGCATCGCTTCCTGCTTCGCGACCGACTCCTCCGGACTGCGCAGGTTCTCGTCATTCATCTTCCGCTGCTGAAGCATACCTCATACCTCTTACGGACCAGCTGGTCTTGGTAATTTGCGCGTGATTGATGGTGCTTCGTCTCCTCGGTGAGCGTCTTCCTCTTCCCCTCGGCGTCAACCCTTTTCTGCTCAACTTTCGCCTTTTCCATCATCATCTCGTACTTCTTGATTTTAGAAATCATCTCTTGCTGCTTTGTCACTTCTTGGAGCTTCGACAACTCTAGCGCTTCTTTTGAGTGCCGTGATTTCTCTAGCTCCTTAGCGGCTTTAGCTGCCCGCTCGAGCGCTGATGAGTCGAACCTGTACGCCTCCATCAACTTCTTCGTCTTGTCGTCAATCTTGGACAAGTCGACCTTGCCGGTGTCCCCGGCCCCTCCGTCAGCGGGCGTCGCCTCAGGGAGCTCGAGTCCGACCTGGTCCGCCCGTTTGATCCCGAAGAGCCAGGACATGGTCGGGGAAGGTCAGACGGGAAAAGAAAATAAATCGCCGGAAAAGGCCTGCGAGCGGCGGTGTCTAGAGCACGAGCTGGGAAGTTGTACGAAGTTTGGCAGAAGAATAGCTTGTGTCGTACGTCTTCAGGAACATGGCATAACTGACAGTTTGGGGAGTTAGTTCCCTTGAATTTGTGCGTATAAACTGCACAGTTTCCATGCCCCGTAAGCATTTGTGAGGACCGAAAATCTGTTTGCACCCAACTCTGCGTTTTTTTTCTTTAATGATGGGAAAGAACTCATACGTAAGTCTGCCCTTGACATTATTTTCCCATCTGCTTTGCCAGGTGTCGGTTTTCCATTCGTTGAGAAAAATGTGGCGCTGGCTGTTGGGTGTATTCCTTAGCCAATACGCTTCATGCTCCTCTATGCCTGGTAGCAATCCTTTCTTCAGCTCTCTCTTTGCAATATGGCATTTTATGACCACGACAATGGGTGCTGCTATCATTAGCACTTATAGAGCGTGGGTAGAAGCCGTTCTGTACCCCTTCGATGTCCTCAGCAAAGCAATTCCCAATTGCAGTTTTCTTCCCCAGGATGCTGCTCGTGGGTTCGAAGCCCGTTCGTGACACTAGCTTTTTCATTTCAACCAGACCTTACATACAAAGAATAATTAATTGAAAGAAGTAATTTGGTCAATCAGATCACTAAACATAATGTTTTTTTATTGTTTTAATTCCAATATTTTTAATAATCAATAAAACCTTTATTTCAATAATTAATTTTGTTTTCTAAATAACTAATTATTTCTGACTTCAAGAAGAAAGCACATTTGGGTCATAAATAATCTCAGTTAAACGTGGATATTTATGCTCGCTTGTTAGGTTTGAATGTTGTCTGTTAATATAACAAAACAATTAATAGTCATTCATTGACGACCATTATCGTTACGGCAAACGACCTAACTTAAAATAACGAGAGCCAATATATATGCAAGAAAGGTGATACAACTCAAAAAGCGGTAGTTTTTAGGGGTAGGACAACTGGAATTTTAAACATTTTGAATTTTTCCCTTGTCTTATTCAAGTGAAAGACAATATAGATGGATCAAGACAGTTTTTACAGCCAACAGCTACAATAGCGATTAGTTAATTCATAAACAAAAAAAGTAAACTTCCTTCTATCTCTCTTGTAAAATATTCTTTTTTTTTGTGTGTGTGTGTCCTTGTATTAGTCGGCCGTTGGATAATCAATTGCTAATTTTAAACTTATGTTGAGGTGAGCGGCCCCAGAAGAAAAGTCCAAATGCTTCGTTCAAAACATTTATTGACCTCGCTCGGACGTCTCACGTCCTTCATCAGGTACATAATCTTTTTTTTGTGTGTGTGTCAGTAACATTCTTTCCGGCGTCCCAGACCAACAGCAATTTATTGTTTTTCGTTTAAAACGAAGCTTTTGGACTTTTCTTCTTGGGCCGCTCACCTCAACATAAGTTTAAAATTAGCAATTCTTTTTTTTTTTATTGTTGTGACACTTGTTCATTCTGGATAATCGGTGTACTCGATATTTCTCCATCGACCTGCACCCAACAGTATCAAGCTACTCTAAATTAAGGTCATTAGTGTATTTTCACAAGTCCGCCATGTAGAGGCTATATTTTACCATCAGCCCCTCACCGCTCACACTAATAAATACACGAGCTCAGACAACACACATCATACACGTATACAATAAAAAACACAGGCTGTAAAAAGCGGAACAGATGACCAAGAAACTCGCTACTGTGCTCGAGAAACCCTTGTTAAATCCAGCGGCACCCTACACGCTCACTGTAAGCAGCCAAGGCATGACACTCTCCTAGGACATATAAAAAAAAACCTTTCTCTGCATCTGGGCGGGCTTTGTTCCAGAAGCAGTTGGCCGTGTTTCAACAGCACATTTCATAAAAGTGTAAGGACGATTCCTCATTTCTGGTTCAGGTTCTTGGAGAACCAGGTCACGCAAGAGCAAAAAAAGTCTTAATGAAGTAACAGCTTTGTTCTAACATTTCTCCCAGTTAGAACGAACAGTTTCTTTATTTGTACGCTTTATTACTAGTGAATTTTTTCTTCCACCTGATACCATTCCAGACTGGAGTATTTATTTGCATATATTTTTTTTGACCCTTTGCGTTAATATATATTCAATAATAA